AAACATTCTCTACCTCTGAGTGAGGAGAGAAAACCTTCTCTACTTCTGTGAGAGGAGAGAAAACATTCTCTACCTCTGTGAGAGGAGAGAAAACCTTCTCTACCTCTGTGTGAGGAGAGAAAACCTTCTCTACCTCTGAGTGAGGAGTGAAAAGCTTCTCTACCTCTGAGTGAGGAGAGAAAACCTTCTCTACCTCTGAGTGAGGAGAGAAAACCTTCTCTACCTCTGTGAGAGGAGAGAAAACCTTCTCTACCTCTGTGAGAGAGGAGAGAAAACCTTCTCTACCTCTGTGTGAGGAGAGAAAACCTTCTCTACCTCTGTGAGAGAGGAGAGAAAACCTTCTCTACCTCTGTGTGAGGAGAGAAAACCTTCTCTACCTCTGTGTGAGAGGAGAGAAACCTTCTCTCCCTCTATGTGAGGAGAGAAAACCTTCTCTACCTCTGTGTGAGGAGAGAAAACCTTCTCTACCTCTGTGTGAGAGGAGAGAAACCTTCTCTCCCTCTATGTGAGGAGAGAAAACCTTCTCTACCTCTGTGTGAGGAGAGAAAACCTTCTCTACCTCTGAGTGAGGAGAGAAAACCTTTTCTACCTCTGAGTGAGGAGTGAAAACCTTCTCTACCTCTGAGTGAGGAGAGAAAACCTTCTCTACCTCTGTGTGAGGAGAGAAAACCTTCTCTACCTCTGTGTGAGAGAGGAGAGAAAACCTTCTCTACCTCTGTGTGAGGAGAGAAAACCTTCTCTCCCTCTGTGAGAGGAGAGAAAAATTCATTTCATTGTTATTTTTGTGTCGAGGAGACGCCACTTGAAACACTGTATCTTGGAGCAGAGAACCATTCTAACAATTTACTGCGTAGTCCACTTTATTCCCCTTATTTCAGGGGGAGGAGAGAGGGAGAGCCAACCTTTTAAATGTTGCGCCGAGGACTTGAAAACTTGTTTTAAACGCGATGTTTGCGGGGTCACGGGAGAGACCTGTTTCACTCCTGTTTCGGCGGATGGAATAGATCATTTCTAACTCTTGGTGTGGGTGTGGGTGTGGGCAGAAGTGAGAGCGAGGTATGGGCGGAGGCTCGAATTCTCTGTAAAGTATTCTGGGGGGTGTGGGGGAGTAGGGAAGTGGAGCTAAGGTGTATTAACGGAAGCGGTTGGGCAGATAGGGAGACATGATGAACGTGGGAGTGTGGTTGGGTCCGGTTTAGTTGAGGGAGGGAGGGAGGGGGGGGAGGGGGGGATGGAGGCAGAGGCCGTGAAGAAAATGGGGGTTGGGGGGGTTATGGGGGGCAGGGGTAGGGGGGTGAAATTGTACAACTCCGGCGGTGGCTTGGACGACAGGTCGCTGGGTACAGGAGCCTGGGTTGGTGGGTGTTAGACGGGGGGCTGTGGACAGGGTTTGGGGACGGGGTGTGCGGGGCCAAGTGGACTGGGAAAGGGGGGGGTTATAGCCCCCCTTCCCTTCCCTACCCCCCTCTCATTGAAAGGTAAGTGAGCTACTGATATCCCAGCACCGTCTCCCTCCAGTATCTATCCCTTTGAACCCCTTTCCCTCTCCCCTTTCCCCTGTCCCCCTTCCCTCCCCTTCCTTCCCCTCTTCCCATCCCTCTCCCTGTCCCCCTCCCTCCCCTTCACCCTGCCAGGGGGCGTGAGGGGGTAATGGCCAAAGAGACAAAGAATCTCCCCTTCCTTTCTCGACGTTGAGATCATAATGAAACATCATTTTTTCGTTCTTGCGTGCGTACTCGCGCGTGTGTGCGTGTGGGGGGGGGGGCGCATGCGCACGCGCGCGCGGTCATTGTTGCTACTTCTGAATCTCAGTTACATCGATTTTCTTCTCTTGGTTACTACGTCTCTCCCCTTGTTTGTGTTTCCCTCTCCCTGTTCTCTCAGGTCCCCTCAGGTCCCCTCAGCCTACCTCTCTTGGTTACTACGTCTCTCCCCTTGTTTGTGTTTCCCTCTCCCTGTTCTCTCAGGTCCCCTCAGTCTACCTCTCTTGGTTACTACGTCTCTCCCCTTGTTTGTGTTTCCCTCTCCCTGTTCTCTCAGGTCCCCTCAGGTCCCCTCAGCCTACCTCTCTTGGTTACTACGTCTCTCCCCTTGTTTGTGTTTCCCTCTCCCTGTTCTCTCAGGTCCCCTCAGTCTACCTCTCTTGGTTACTACGTCTCTCCCCTTGTTTGTGTTTCCCTCTCCCTGTTCTCTCAGGTCCCCTCAGCCTACCTCTCTTGGTTACTACGTCTCTCCCCTTGTTTGTGTTTTCCTCTCCCTGTTCCCTCAGGTCCCCTCAGCCTACCTCTCACATCTCTGTTCCCTCACATCTCAGTTCTCTCACATCTCAGTTCTCTCACATCTCAGTTCTCTCACATCTCAGTTCTCTCACATCTCAGTTCTCTCACATCTCAGTTCTCTCACATCTCAGTTCTCTCACATCTCAGTTCTCTCACATCTCAGTTCTCTCACATCTCAGTTCTCTCACATCTCAGTTCCCTCACACATCTCAGTTCTCTCACATCTCAGTTCTCTCACATCTCAGTTCTCTCACTTCTCAGTTCCCTCACAGTTCAGTTCCTCTCACATCTCAGTTCCCTCACACATCTCACTTCCCTCACATCTCAGTTCCCTCACATCTCAGTTCCCTCAAATCTCACTTCCCTCACATCTCAGTTCTCTCACTTATCAAGGTCGTAGTCTCGTGGACCTAGTTGTTCTCCTATAACTACGCAGCCTCTACCGGGGTTGGACTTCCGATCTTGGGCCCCGCCTCTCTGAGTCTTCGGGTGAGCAGGTTCACGAGCTCTTTTAAGGCTCTGCTTATATCTACCCTTCAAGATCTGTATAGAGTCTGCCTCTATTTTTTGTATTGTGCATTCTGTTTGAGTCAGAGACAATTTTTTCCAATATTCTTGTGGTCTTATCACATTCTATTTTTATGTTAGTCCCCTCGTTTCCGGAACCAGTTTTGGGTTATCTTGAGGTTATCTTGAGATGATTTCGGGGCTTTTTTTTAGTGTCCGCGCGGCCCGGTCCTCGACCAGGCCTCCACCCCCAGGAAGCAGCCCATGACAGCTGACTAACACCCAGGTACCTATTTTACTGCTAAGTAACAGGGGCATAGGGTGAAAGAAACTCTGCCCATTGTTTCTGGCCGGCGCCTGGGATCGAACCCAGGACCACATGATCACAAGTCCAGTGTGCTGTCCGCTCGGCCGACCGGCTCCCTTGGGGGCTGGTGTCTATGCTTCCTGGGGTTTGGATATTACCAGATGGGAGATCGTGTGCCAGGGCCAAATAAGAAGCTCGGAAAGGTGTTACACAGGCATTTGGATGTTTGCCAGCATTGCATATGCCGCTGTTGCCATTCCGTTGACATGTGGACATATGATTGACATTATATAAATTCGTGGATATTGTTGCGTTTCATATTTCATAAGCTGCCTCTCGCTCAATGCGTACTGTCTATGGGGTCTCGGTACATCTCTAGCTTTCGTAACCTTACACCTATTTGCGTTGAAATCAAGCAGCCATTTACCAGTTCACCCGGAATTGTTTTTATAGTTTTTTTTCTATAATTGTGAAGTCCTCACCCGCCCTAATATGAGAGAGAGAGAGAGAGAGAGAGAGAGAGAGAGAGAGAGAGAGAGAGAGAGAGAGAGAGAGAGAGAGAGAGAGAGAGAGAGAGAGAGAGAGAGAGAGAGAGAGAGAGAGAGAGAGAGAGAGAGCGAGAGAGAGAGAGAGGAGAGAGAGAGAGAGAGAGGAGAGAGAGAGAGATAGAGAGAGAGAGAGAGACGAGAGAGAATAGAGAGAGAGAGACAGAGAGAGAGAGAGAGACAGAAGAGAGAGAGAGAGAGAGAGAGACAGAGAGAGAGAGAGAGAGAAGAGAGAGAGAGAGAGAGAGAGAGAGGAGAGAGAGAGAGAGAGAGATGAGAGAGAGAGAGAGAAGAGAGGAGAGAGAGAGAGAGAGAGAGAAGAGAGAGAGCGAGCCCCACACACAGCCCCACCCTCGCACGCCATCCCAGCAACACGGAGGCAGGCTGGTGGCTATAGAGTAGAACTATTGATTGTGGGTGCTGGAGTACGCGAGAGAGGGAGGAGGAGGAGAGGAAGAGGGAGAGAGAGAGGGAGAGAGAGAGGGAGAGAGAGAGGGAGAGAGAGAAGAGAGCACCAACAGGAGAAGAAAGGCTTAACAACACCCCCCCCCCCCACCCCAACAACTATATCATTATATAACCCCCACAGGCAATCCTGAGAGCTATATCAATCAACCAGTCAACCAATTAGGCTGTAGTTAGCTAGAGGCAACGACTTCGAATGCAACCTACGCTAGCCCGGGGAGTTGAGGATAAGAGTATGCGTCACTAATGGCTCCTATAACGCACGCATGTACGCACACACGCACGCACATACGCACGCACTCTATTAGGCTGCCACAGGCGCTTTCGAAGGTGGTTGACAGGGGCCGACAAGATGACCCTGGAAGATGCTGACGAAGACCCATCTCCACACCCAGCTAACGACACGTGCCAGGTAGTAACGAACTAACCGTCGATAAACGAGGACCTCACTTAGACCCTCCCCCCTTCCCCCCCCCCCATCGATTAACGAGGGGAAAGGGAGAGGGGAAAGGGAGGGGGGAAAGGGAGGGTGAGAGGGAGCATTAAATAACATATTTTCTCTATCCAGTCGACTCTCCCTTGAAGCGAAGGGGGAAAAAAATCGACATGGAGGAGTCCCCTCGACGTATTGTGGTATTTCATTTTCTATTGTCCTACGGGCTCACCATAGCCGGTGCTACTTGGAACTTTATGTTCCAGGTAGCGAATCATTAACAATTTTATTGTCGAGTAGAGTCGTGAGGCATTATGAGGCACTCTGAGGCACTATGAGGTGCCTCAGAGTGCTCTTTATTTATTTTTTATTTAGAAAATTTATTTAAGCATTTAATGAAATGAAACAAAATCTTGTTTAACAAATAAATTAGATGGGCAGCCTCTGATCTACCAGGAGAGCACATGACAGCCTCTGATCTACCAGGAGAACACATGACAGTCTCTGATCTACCAGGAGAGCACATGACAGCCTCTGATCTACCAGGAGAACACATGACAGCCTCTGATCTACCAGGAGAGCACATACAGCCTCTGATCTACAGGAAACACATGACAGCCTCTGATCTACCAGGAGAGCACATGACAGCCTCTGATCTACCAGGAGAGCACATGACAGCCTCTGATCTACCAGGAGAGCACATGACAGCCTCTGATCTACCAGGAGAACACATGACAGCCTCTGATCTACCAGGAGAGCACATGACAGCCTCTGATCTACCAGGAGAACACATGACAGCCTCTGATCTACCAGAGAACACATGACAGCCTCTGATCTACCAGAGAAACATGACGCCTCTGATCTACCAGGAGAGCACATGACAGCCTCTGATCTACCAGGAGAGCACATGACAGCCTCTGATCTACCAGGAGAGCACATGACAGCCTCTGATCTACCAGGAGAACACATGACAGCCTCTGATCTACCAGGAGAACACATGACAGTCTCTGATCTACCAGGAGAACACATGACAGTCTCTGATCTACCAGGAGAGCACATGACAGCCTCTGATCTACCAGGAGAGCACATGACAGTCTCTGATCTACCAGGAGAGCACATGACAGCCTCTGATCTACCAGGAGAGCACATACA